GGTTCTTGCAGTACTGAATATGGAAGTGTTGAATGTTTGATATGGTTCTTGCAGTACTGAATATGGAAGTGTTGAATGTTTGATAAGGTTCTTGCAGTACTGAATATGGAAGCGTTGAGTGTTTTATATGGTTCTTGCAGTATTGAATATGAAAGTGTTGAATGTTTGATAAGGTTCTTGCAGTACTGAATATGAAAGTGTTTAATGTTTGATAAGGTTCTTGCAGCATTAAATATGAAAGTGTTGAGTGTTTGAGAGGGATCCTGCAGCATTAAATATGAAAGTGTTGAGTGTTTGAGAGGGATCCTGCAGCATTAAATATGAAAGTGTTGAATGATTGACTGGGGTTCTGCAACACCAATCTTAAAAAGTGTCAGAGGTTTGACATTGAACTTGCATAACTACTTGTAAAATTTTCTGCTGTTTGAGAATGATCGAGCATTACTTATTTTTTCTTTTTTTTTTATGTTATGAATCCAAACATCTTTCTCTGTTGTTTTAGTCTTTCTAGAAAAAACTTTGTGGTATGTTAGTTCTACACAGTTCATTGTTAACATTGCTAAGTACCTGAAACAGTATAAACTATTAAAATATATTTACTAATTTTCTTATTGATGAGGTTAAAATGTATGATATATTTGAAATATTTAAAACAGTTGTACTTATACAAGCTTTTTCTTGTAATCTAAAGGAGGAGATGTGATTAATGGAGATGGTACGGGATCAATCTGTATTTATGATGAGCTTGATGGGAAGTATTTCCCTGATGAGAACTTTGAGCTGAAACACAACTATCCAGGAATTCTTAGTATGGCTAATGCAGGTGAGCTGCTGGTTTTATGATTTAAGATAGGTAGATGAAACTGAAATATTACTTTTTAAAATATATTAATAGCTTGATGTATTGTGTGTTTCACATCCAAAATTCATAAAAATCTATTTCCAAGTTCTTATTTTGAAGATATGCTGCAGGATTCAAAATAAGCTACATACTTCCCCAAGTGTGAAACTACTTCCAAGTATACAAGTTCAATGTGACTGTTGATACTGAGCTCTAAATATTCACTTGTTTCTGTATTGCTGAGATTTCAGTTTAAGTTGCAGTACAGAATATTTTATTGGGTAGTAACTTCCATTTCATATTCATTGCTTAACCTGCTGAGGTTTTTTAAATTAAAGTAGACTAGAAAAATGCCTGAAATCATTGTGAATAAATAAATTCATCTTAAGTTTTCTAAATTAATATATATTAGCATAAAAAATTTTGTACAAGTTTTAATTTCTAAACTTTTAAAAACTTTGCTCTCTATTTAAAATTTTAAAAAACAATATAAAACATTTGGCCAAGGTAACTACAGAGAACAAATAAAAGTTTTTATTATCTGTGGCATGGAGAGTACTGCAAGGTAACCTAGTTTCACTGAAACAAAATCTGAATTTCTTGTGTATTCAAGCTCAGACAATGAGTTTTAGTAATAGCAGTATTTTTTACAAACAATATATGTAGTATTTTTTAATTATGCGTGTATAGTGTAGAAATATCTAACTTGCCTTATTTTTGGTTTGCTGAACAAAACAAGTCGTGCCTGTTTCAGTAGAACTTCTCCAGAGCAAAAGGTTTGGCATTTTAAAATTCTTCTGTTGTGAATTTCATCTCAGAAGTAGTTGAGCACAGTTATTTGTTAAAGAACTAAGTTCAGAGGAGAAATGCAGAAAAAACATCATAGTTTGTACACACATTGATTGATGGCTCTCAGAAGCAATTATTACAGAATTATTTCATAAAGATGTATGTTGATTTTTTATTCATTTAAGAAGTTCCTTTTGTAAAGAGTAAAAGATACAGCAGATTATACCTTTTTGGTTTGTGGTATTTTGAGAGTTCTGACAAATAAAGGTTTGTCAAACCTTTGGTTCAGTTGTCACTGTTCTGTAATTTCAAGACAAGTTCTAATATTCAGGCCATGACATAGGTGGTACAACATTGCAACGTGTGAAGCAAATATGAAATTACAGGTTAAAAACTCACTTTTTAATAAACAATGACTTACTGTACACAATTCTTTAAATGAGACTATTTCCAGTTTCAAAAATACAATAAAGTACTAAATAACTTTCTGTACAGGATAAAAGAAAAAAATAACGACACTCGAAACAGTCTCATACACTCAACATGTTGACTGCACCATCTTCAGGAGTACAGTGTTTTGCAAGAATCACACTTATTTATACTGATACAAACATCACCATAATACAGTTTACATAAAACATTTCTATCAGGTCTGTCATACTTATTCAATGTTTAACATTTAATTATTTTTTTATCATCTCAATAGATTCACACATATTCATACTAATAACATTTTCAGGTTGTGCTAAAATAACAGTTTTTTTTTCCATTGAATTATGTGTAGTTTCATTAATATGATCTGCTAATGGTGAAATAGTAATATTATTGTTTTTAACATTTCTTTTGTGTTCATTTACTCTGAATTTTAAATTTCTTCTAGTTTGTCCTATATATACTTTTTCCACTTTCACAATATTTCATATATATAAATTTTTTTTCCATTAAATTAATTTCATCTTTAGTTATATTATGAATTTGGCTTTTTTTATCTGTTTATATATTGGAAAAATATTTGTTTAATATATTGCTTCATTATGTGACAAGATAAATCAGATATAAATGACAGTACCAAACATTCTTTTCAGGAAGTGGTTTTATCTTAATATAGACATCCATTTTTTTTAGTTTTCTGACAGCTTATTCAACAATATCAGGATTAAAACCTCTTTATACTGTTATGTACTTAATTAATAATGACTCATTAGTAATTTCTTCCTGTTTACAACGTAATTTTAGTATCTTATCCACATAAGAGTAAAAAACAGTAGTTTTCTGAGATTTAGTGTGACAAGATTTTTGATGTGGCAGAATGAGTACAGAGAAAGGTTTTCAATAAATAGTAGTTTCCAATTTATCCTTATCTTTTCTTGCTAAAACATCCAAAAAGATAAATAACTAATTGTCTCAACTTCATAAGTATATCTGCTAGACTTGTCAATGTTATTAAGGTAATTAGTAAAAAGAGCCAATTCCTCTTTTACCATGCTGCCATACTAAAAATGTCATCAACATATCTTAACCAAACTTCAGGTTTTTTATCTGCTTTTTCTAACGTTTCAGTTTCAAAGCTGTCCATAAATAAGTCAAATAATGACGGAGATAAAGGAGAACCCATAGCTAAACCTTCATTCTGTTTATAAACTTTACTGGTAATTTGAAAAAATGAGTTTTCAACACACTTCTACTAGGTTAACCATATCCGTTACTTCTAAAACCGAATGATTATTTTCTTTTCATTTTTTCTCAAAACATGCTTCTTTGGTTATATGCCATGAGGTCCTCTTCATTGAATAATACACAATTTTGAAGATGACAGTAAAATGTTTACATGGTGAATTCTATAACACAGGACAGAATGTTTTTTCTCACAACACCACAGGAAACAGTATGACCATTGTAATATCAAATTGAAGCATATTACCAACAAAAGATCACTATTTATTGAATACTTTATGGTGGTGAATAAGAGTGAAAGATGAAGGTAACTTTAGTCTCCATCCATTGATTGAACATGTGATAAAGCAATTTTCTCTGCCCCTGATGTTAGACTTTGTGCTTTTATGCATTACAATGATTTAATGCACACACACTTGTACTATTGCTACTGCATATAGGACTGTAGTTTATGGAAAATAACTTTATTTTGTGTTCCTAGCCAGTTTTTGAGAGATAAAAGAATATTACAGGGTTAACATACTGTTTCTATAACATCTAGGACAGTAGGTAGTAGGAAAAGAAAAACTTTTAGTTTGTGTTCCTAGTCAGTTGTTGAGAGAGAAAGAATATTACAGGGTTAACATACTGTTTCTACAAAATCTAGGACAGTAGGTAATGGGAATAAAAGACTTTCAGTTTGTGTTCCTAGTCAGCTGTTGAGTTTGTTGAGAGATGAATATTACAGGGTTAACATACTGATGTCACAACATTTAGGACAGTAGGTAATTGAAAGCAACTTTTAGTTTGTGTTCCTAGCTAGTTGTTGAGCTATTTAAAAGATAAAGAATAGTCCAGGGTAAATGTACTGTTGCTACACCATCTAGGACTGTTGGTAATGGAGAAGAACTTTCAGTGGTAGACCACTAACTGATGTTTTGCTATTCTTGTTGAACACTTTTTATTGTAACGTCCATGCAAAACATGGTTGAACTGACTTGTGTGTTTCGCCCTTTTTCGACTCCTTTGTTATCATCAGTTCTGTAAAGATGATTCAGGCTTATCTGATGATTGAGTATTGTCTATAGTTTTCTGTGTGGAAAAAAGGACTTTTCAGACTTATCTGATTATTGAATGTAGTTTTCTATCAAAATAAAAGGATTTTAGGCTTATGTGATGATTGAGTGTTCTATGTGTATTTCTGTCAAATTAAAGAGTACATCAGGCTTTTAATCATTTTGTATATTGTATAGTTTCACTTTAAATAATTGATATTTCCAAAATGTCATGAAACAAAGATAACGTTGGTTTCTTACATTTTTCTTAGTTTAAAAACTTGACTTCTGGTTCTGAATATAAAAATGTTCTACTGGTAAATTAATATCATATACTAATTACTTTTGATACATTTAATTTGTTTGTTAAAATTAATATTGGATCTCATTACAAGAACAACTTTTGTATGATAGCACACCTGATTCATCTTTTACATATGATATAATGATGTGTTGGTTTTGTTTAATCAGTTTGTAAAAAATACCCGTTTTTTTATGATGCTCGGTAAAACATTTTGTTCAGCATTGGATAATGTGGCAGACAGTTAAAAGAGTGGTGACAAATCACTGGTGATGTTAAAACAAAGAGATTTTTTGATATGTCTTTTCTTCAGGTAAAGACACAAATGGATGTCAGTTCTTTATCACCACTGTGAACACTCCATGGCTAGATGGTTACCACGTAGTCTTTGGGAAGGTTCTGGAAGGAATGAATGTCATCCAGAAGATAGAAAACTTGAAAACCAACAACGAAGATCAGCCTCTTCATGATGTGGTAATAAGCCAATCAAAAGTTGAAGAACATGTGTCTGTGTAATATTTAGCTTTTACATCATATGTCCAGTGGCTGCATTGATAGTGAAAATTAAATTTTGTATTTTTTTAAATATACATTATTATAAGAATTGCATTTAATGTTATTAATAGTTTGGAACTCTTAATGACTCGTATTTGCAGCTTTTACCGTGAAATTGAAAATTGTTTTATTGAATATAATACACTATTTTTTCATCTGAATAAATGTGATTATGTATATATTTACTAGTGTGTGGTGTGCTAGTTGTCTCCAGTCTTATGATGTCCATCTTAATTTTGATGGTTCCATTTTTATCAGGTTGATACATAAAACATTTTCTTCCCACAACATTCTAGTTTGAGCCTGTAGTTGATAAAACCAATATTATGCACATGTACATGCTCTATTGGATAATACACTTAGCAACATGTTGTGCAGCAGAAGTTATCATTTTCCTAATTTAAAAAATGTATTTCTAAACATACTTACCTCTGCTGACACTTATAGGGAGGCAAAAATCCCACAGAAGAAGAAACTGCCAGATCATGAAGGTAATGAGACAGGAAAGTGTTGGGAGAAGTCCACATACAGGCCAGTAAAATATCCTCCAGAGAACAGTTCAGACGAGCAGACAATGACATTGACAGATGCCGAACCTGGTGAGAAGAGATGTGGAGTATATTTCAACCTACAAAGATAACCCCAAATAGGCTGTAGGAATCAACTCCCGAAGCCCCTGGTGAATGTAATGGGTGATAAATCCGGGGACACTGCAGAATCCCACTAAATAAAAAGACAGTGCATAGGGCCCCTAAACAGTTCTGTACAAGCCATAGTACATCTAAGTGCTCTGACTGGACACAAAAGAACTGGGTATGATAGATTGTAGAGATGTGAAATGCCTGGAAAAAGAATAGGAAAAAGAATTTATTCCCTTCTCTGGCAGCGAGAGTGTTCAGTAGGAAGGATCTGTCTGGATAGAGCAAAAAAAGAGGTGGAAGGACAGAGTCTGCTGAACAGGGATGGCAAATAAATCAGAACAGCTGTGTCTGGAAGCTAACAACAATAGAAATATACCTCAAGGGAATGGTGATACAAAGAACAGGAGGTCATCGGTTTGAAGGGATAAAGTGATAACGCATGAAAAAACAACTCTTAAAGTTCCAATTAGGCAATTGAAACGGTTGTTTAGGATGATGAATATGAAAGGAGATAGCACAGGAGTAAAAAAACATTGTATATGTAGAGAGCAAAAGGGAGCAGTGAAGGATGCTGTATATAAATGCAAGGTAGAAGACAAAACTTTCAAAAATCTATGTGAAAAAACTTGAAACTATGGACACTGTAGGATGAAGTGGGTTGAAGGCTCACTGAAGACACCACTGACAATATGTAGTCCATTTCCATTGATAGATTGCTATATTAGGTTGATGGAGGATATAGTCAAATGGAAACCAGAATTTAATTCCCTATGGTTGGGCAAAGGACTGCACAACTTCCATACATGAAGCTGGAGTCGTTAAACATGCAGATGTTAAATGTTTGACTCAGGTTGTCTCAACAAGGATGAATGAAGAGGTAAACATTCCTGGAGCAACTGAAGAAGAGGAAACCATGTCTGAGCAGGCCAAAAATGTGCTGACAAGAGAACCTAACATGGGTTGAAATGAATCATAGGAAAGGCATACACATGGAATCCTGTCCAGTCTTGACTTAAAGCATCTATTGTCAGAGCTTGTGAATGTGGAATTGGAGACCAGAACTGTTGGCTAGAATTCCAATGGGTTGCAAAGGTGTCTATCACTGGAGAGCCAAACTGAGAACAAATCCATTGAAAGACCGCCTGATGGGACATCCATGCTGGTGGAAGAATCTGATGGGGTCGAAAAAGGTGATCTGCTATCAAAATCATAACCCCTGGTACATGACAGGCCAAAAGATGGATGTCATTAGAATGAACTGAAAAAGAAGATCCAAAGCCCAAAAACCAAGACCTCAAGAATGAGAAGAAAAATATGAAACCACCATAGAGTAGTCAGAATGAATCATGTCCATTTTGTCATGCAAAAGATGAAGCAACATTCACACATTGGAAACGATGATCATCGGAGAGTTCGTGAGGCACTCAAACACCTTCTTTATGAAGTTTTCCCATATTCCTTAGATGTTTATGTATTGTTTCATGAGAGACATGCAATTTCAGGGACATTTCACGAGTGTGTTGCCTTGGGTTACACTCAACAAGCATCTTCAGAGCATCAATATCAATTCCAACATCCTTCCCTCACAGTTTTTAAGGCTAAGGTCACCTGAACGAAATTTGCTGAACCATCGTTGATACTTACGAACATTCAAAACATTTCCATAAACTTCTTTGATATTCTTTGTGGCTACAGAGGCATTGTTTCTCTTCTTGTATTCAAACAACATTACATGCTGAATGTGTGTTTCGTTGTGTGCCATCACTATAAGGGATTAGAGTATACTAAACTTTACACATTATATAGGCTACACTATCGTGTCGTTTAGGCGGTTCATTTAACTATTATACGTGATGTACGTTTTTGTTTTTGGGGGGGGTAATGAAAGTGTTCCCAAATGCGACATTAATTTCTTGACGACCTAATAACTTTTTAATCATGTTTTAGTATAAAAAAAATCCTGTTTATTAAGTAGTACAAAAAGTGCCAACAGATGATACTTCAAATGTCCAGTATAAAATATAAAACAGCTGATGCCTTAATTGTTACTAGTACAAAATGTGCCAACAGTTGATAATTCAAATGTCTCTAGCACAAAAATGTAAAACAGTTGATGCCTTAGTTGTTAATAGTACAAAATGTGTCACAATTGTTGCTTCAAATGTCTCTTGCACAAAATGTAAAACAGTTGATACCTCAATTGTTACCTGTACAAAATGTGAGAACAGTTGCTGCCTTAGGTGTTACTAGTACAAAATGTGTCATGTTGACTTTGTTTTTATTATGAATGTTACTTAAATTAATCTAACAATGTTCTATACATCAGCTTAGTTTTGTTTTCAGTTTATTTAAACTTCTGTCAGTTTTAAAATAAAGCAACAGCTACTTTTCACACTTGGTATGACCAAGTGTCTTTACAATGTTTTTCAGATATCAATACATTACATGTTTCTGTATGTAGGTTTTCTCTGCCATAAGGTGTAGGTAAGTGGCAGTTATGCACCACATTGCATTTCTGTATATAGATTTTCTCTGTCACAAGGTGTAACCAAATGGCTATGTGAACTACAAGTGCTATTGGTGCACCACATTATATCTTGCTGTGTGTAAATTTTTGTCATTATGTAATAAATTAATTTCTAAAGATACTCCATCTATGGGTTGATTAGGTTATCAAATTATTTGTCATTAAATGTAAATAAGTAACTTTATGAGCTACACCAGCTATGGGTTGATTAGTGTGTATCTGTTTCTTTGTGTACACTTTCTTTGTAATTAAATGTAAATGTATAAATTTATCATTGTTCATGATGTAATACCTAGAAATTTTGTGTAGTATGTAGAAACAAGGATACAATATAAATATGAGTTAATTGGTTCAGTACCCATCAGTGAATAAGCTAAACAGTGAGTTGGTTGCATGTTTGTTATTAATTACATGTACATACCATTATTCTTAGAATTTTTAACTGTTTTGTTTTGTGAAGTTAGGCATACAAGTTAAGTAACCTGTAGCAAATGCTAAAAGAGAAACTAATAATAAAAAAGAACCCACAAAACAATAGAACATGCTATAATACTTGCCAGAAGTGGGATTATTTTGGTGAAAATAAAATAGAACTTTGATTAAACTTACATTCAAGATAACAAGATCAAAACTTTACAGGAGATGCTGAAACAGTTAAAAGAAAGAGCATGAAAATTAGAAGAATGAAAGTAAAAACTAAAATAAGATTAAGAACAAGACAGAAAATTAAAAAAAGAGCAAGATGACAATTACAGAAAAATATAAGACCAAGAAGTTTATACAAAAATAAATGAAGATCAAGAGGTAAGAGAGGAGTTAAAAGAAAGGATTATTAGGAATAAATTTACAACTAATGACAGGAACGTAATATAACCAAATACTCCAGCATGCCCTAAGAGATCAATGTTTAGAAAGATTATGTCATCATTAAGACTATGAACAAGATAAACCATAAAATATAAGTCAAGTATGGACTGGACTTTCCAAGATATGAAGCTGTACAATGAGTACTTCCACATCAAAAGTGGTCATGCTTGAGGTAAGATGTAGAAAGTCTGGTGTTAAATCCTTACATAATGACAACATACCACATCATTTACCAGAGCTGGAGAACTTGAGCTGTAGAGATCTTACAGCTGATCAAATGCCAGAAATTACATGAAATGCTATGGAATATCAAGGTACATTCTTCAGTTGACCTCATGACTTAGGCAGAACAAATATCTCTTAAGATTGATATTGGAAATGAAGCCTAAATAGATGATTTAACCAGATGGCTTTCATTTGCAAAACAGGTTTCAAAGAGATAGAGCCATGAAGGAAGAAAGGAGTGAAAGAACCTGGTGCTAGTTCTTGAAAATTAGCTATTGTAATTGTGAAGAAGAAAGATGGATCCATTAGGTTCTGTATTGAGTACCAGAGGGTAAATAAAATCACAAAGAAGGATACCTACCCACTGCCAAAGACTGACTCTACTTTGAATGCTCTATCTGAATCAAAATTATTTTCAGCATTGAATCTTAAGTGGGTGTTGCCAAGAGAGAAGACAGCCTTACTGCAGGAAATTGATTTTAGGAATATGTCATGTTACCATTTGGCTTAGGTAAAGCATAATTGAAGTCAATGAACCAAAACATTTTTTTATGTTTATTATAAACATGCAATATTGTATTTGTATAATAACACTGTGTATTTATCAACAACCTATTCTTATACAACAATTTACAAAAACAAAAGTTTACTGTAATATTGTATATAGAAATTAATATTATCTTAACATTTCTTTAAGATTAGTGACTTATTAATGTGCTATTAGAAACAAAACAAAAAGTACAACCTACAAATACAAAAAATTTAATGATCTAAATGTACAGAAATTAACCATGCTATAAAAAATCAGCTGCTTTTTGTCTCTTTTATTTTGCCTTTTTCTTCTTTTTTCCCCCTCATCTGTCTTTTTTTTTCTCCTCTTCTTTCTTCTTGTCTTTACTGTCATCTTTTTTGTTCCCTCCTTCTTCTCTGCATCTCTGTTGGTTATCTTGTTGTTAATCAAGTTGTGTAAAGCAATAACAGAGCGCACCATCAAAGCAAGGTACACAACCAACATCTGATCATTTGTCTTGATGTAGAGGGAATTGACAAACTCTGGAATTAACACATCAGGAGAAGATATCCTGCAGCTGGTAGATGATAATGTGATTGACAGGAAGTTTTCCTAACACTACCTATGCTCACAAAACATATACCATCTTATTTTTAATCATTATACTTGAAACTCATCTTGATTAATTCTTAGAAATGATTATACTTTTGCTGTTAAGTTTATCAATTTATATTTAATACACGTGAAGTAACAGTCATGATGGTTAAAAAACATAGAACAAAAAACAAAGTTGGTAAATCACGTTACAAAACAAATAAAACTAGTGCTTTTCATGGATGTACCTATCTTCATCAATATCTATTCCAAAGTGCTAGAGGTTTCTTGGAATGGATTACATTTTAAGTAGTTCAACACAGCTACCAAATGCAAACTGGATAAAACAATGATAATGCTGTATTAATCATAATCTTCATACTAATGCACTCATAACCACAGTGCTCTATAGTTGTCCCTGTTGTCTGCTG